CCTCGTCTCAACATATGTCTATTGAGATATCGGTTCAAGGATAGAGAACATGGGTCCCAATAAAACCAATGTCATTTACATCAATATAAATATAATATTATATCAATATAATAGGTTAGGGTTAGGGTTAGGGTTAGAATTAGGGTTAGTGTTAGGCACATTGGTTTTATTGGGACCCATGTTCTCTATCCTTGGGCCCATATATCTATGGACTGGTAACGTTAATGAGATACCGCTATACCTGATAAGATAACCGTGCGTAAAGTCATAAATTTCATTACGTTTCTTAATTGTGAACCAAAATGGAAAAGAGCTAAAGCGATACTACCTTTCTCAGTTACCAGACGACGCAGACGAGGCACACAGTTTAATAAACTTGTACATAGGTGTTTCACAGCGCCACACGCCCCTCGCCTCAGTGTGTTCCTGTTTGGCGCACGATGGTGGCGCTGCGACAATGCTATGTTTGTTAAGCAATTTCGAACGGGCTTCGTACACGATTCGAACACGTGATCTATTACCTGGGTGTGTGTTTTAATACTGTGACCTCGTAAATAATAGTCTTCAAAGTCCAAGGGATTATATCGAAAACGGAAAGAGACAAGTTTGTCAAGTAGACATATCAACACTGCGGATCGCAGTAGAAAAAGCCTCAAATTTGCAATTTACTAAAGAGGAAGGGAGAGAATTGCGATACGGAATGATAGAAACAAAGAAGCTAAACTTAAAGGCATCCTTAGAAGACGGCACATGTCGAAAGCAATGATAACGCACAGATGATCGAGTGCTACGAACAGGCTTTATCAAGCAAGAGGAAATGCCAATCTTCATCCGACCATGATAAATTTTATGAAAAGTTATAAATTTAGCATGGAGAAAGCGGACACGAAGAGAAGGCCAATCAAGTTTAGCCAAAACAACATCAGCACTACCATGATAGTTTTTGGAAATCCATATCGCAGCTTTATGCTGAATGGCATCCAATTTATAACAGTTCTGAAGTGTATATAGGGGCACCAGCCTGGCGAAGCATATTCCAATATGGGAAGAACCATCGTTTTAAAAGCCAAGGACCGAAAAATTGGGGGATAAAAAAACAGGGGACAAAAATCGATACCAATCAGAATCACAATTATTTATTTGAAATAATACTCACATCTGTTCAACCTCCATGTTAGTGTTGGAACTTTCCCATCTTCGCTATAGTCCACTGGACGCTAAAGAGTATTATCACAGATAAATAATAGAACATTGTTTGTTATTAGAATAATGTATTATTAATTTTAGGTGTTATTATGTGATTATGAGAATCAAATACAATATTTTATTGCTTACATCAAAATTTTTCGCAGAGTTGTCAAGCTTTGCGTCTCAACTGCTGTTTTTGGCGCCTATAGTAACCACTGTTCCATGAAAAACAATACCAAGTATTACAATGTAGACATAATATTGTTTGCTTAAAAAACAATAATCTATAAGTTTTTACCATAATAGGCGCGTTCACACACAAGAAAAACCGCGATGCTAATCGCGATGAAATACCGAGATAATTGTGTCGTTGTTCACACAGGCGAATAATCGCGCTAATCGCCGAGCGGGATAATTCTATTAATAGAACTGCGCATGCTCACTGCCGGAATGATGGGATAGAAAATACCGGGATTATTTGCGCGAGCGTTCACACACGCAAATAATCGCGCTTATTCCAAAGCGAGCGTTCACACACGCAAATAATCGCGCTTATTCCAAATAATCGCAGTCAAAAGTGCGATTTGGAGCGCGATGCTGATCGCGATTATTAGTGGGTATTATTGCGTTCACACTTGTAATAATCTCGGTATTTCGATCGCGATGCAAAAACCGGGATTTGCATCCCGCTTATTCGCGCCAGTGTGAACTTGCCTTTAGGTATTTTATCAAAAATGTGTTTTTAACTTTTGAAGCAATAGTAAATCCAGTAAAATCAACGATTTGAAAGCGGGCGTGGCCTAATCGTGACGTGGATTTAGGAATCTGTGGTGAGCTTTGTAATGGAGGACCGGACGTGTAGCCACTGCGTTAATGATCAAACATATATGACAATGGTATAATAACGCGGGCTTGACAACGATTCGCTAGCAACCATAGTTTGCGACCATAGTTAGCAACCGAGTGTGCGAGCATGCGCGCGTGTGAATACGTAGGAATGTGCGCGTGCGTGTGAGCACGTCTGTGCATGCGTGTGTGTATGCGCGCGTATGTGTGTGGTGTGTGTGCTCGCGCGTGTGCGTACATTTAAAACGGAAAATATCATGAGTACGTATGAAATGTACGAGATGGTTGTAAACATTTATATACACAACATAAACACACTGTATTTTGGCCACGCGCTTGACACCACTAGATGGCGGTACCCGCGATATAATGATATACAAGTGCTTAAAATCTCTGATCTGTACATAAGTGTTATAGAATAACTGTTATATAATACCACAGCTGTTATTATATACTGCTCAGTGCATGGAGTATAATTAAATTTATGTGCGGCATTATTAGGCGGCCTATATTGCGCGGCTTAAACACGGTGTGAAGGCGATGTGAACGAATCTTCAGATGTAAGCAACACCGATTATACTAATATAACAATCCCTACGCGTCATTATAGTGTAGCGCGGTATCGCACAGGTACAAAGTGGCGCGGCTGCGCGTCCAGAGCGCTGTTAATTACAGTAATGTAACGAGTTTGTGTGTAACCAAGTAAATCCCGTTAAGGTTACCAGAAAGCATGTCGCTGCAAAAATCCTAATAAATAAATAAATACGGAATTGCAAAAAAGTAGCTTCCCGGTGAACTAAATCGACTTGGGTAAATTCAACAACACGGCGTAGTTATAGGTTGAGAGATGAAGCAATTGGTTGAGAGGCCGCTATAGGACCCGGGTATATCGAGGGACGATGTAGCATAGTAGACATCCCTCTATGAGAACCGACCCCCTGTAAATTGCGCATGTGTATGGGCATTTGTTCTTTATTACCCGTGCGCAATGTGTAAGTGAGGCGTTTAAGCGACTAATGTTGTAATATTTATTTATATCCAAACACTTGCGCGCGCACGCACGCACACGCGCAGGAGGCGCACGCACACACGCACACGCACGCAACATCACAATACGCAGAAATTCACAAACGTGTAGCATTAAACGTTGTATAACATAGAGGTAATGCCATACTATTGTAATGGATCATGTTAGGTAATATCGATTCAACAATGTTCATTCATGCTACATATAAAAAACTGTACCGCCTGCAGAAAACTGTTCTGCGCGTAAGCCAGGTCAATGCTCCCTTCACACGAGTGTAGGTTGTAAACCAGTATACAGCTGCGAGCGCTGAATGCTGCATTATATTCTGCCTGCATATAGTGCATCCACGTACGTGCTCCCTGTAGGAAAACAGGTTGTGGACACGTAACATTTCCTACCTCGCGCCCGGCGCACAATCCGCCGTATTTGCCGGCATACAGACGGGTATTTAATGGCAGACAGACAGGTTTTACCTGCGAGTTTGTGCCAGATAAAAACAGCGTTAGCAATAGCGATCGGTGCGAAATAGCAGCGGTGACAAACGAACTCGACGGATGTACTGAGTGAGCGAAACGTCCGATGTCATAACGCCGCTCTTTCGAAACGTTTATCGCAAGGGCACGCCTCGCGCTGTCTGGTTTCGACACGGAACTGTGCAAGCATCGGTAAACAGCTATTATAGCTATCACTCCATAGATTTCAGCATTCACTCGGTACGACAACGATGGCCAGCTGGAACTGCGATTCCACGCGGGTGCTTGGAATAGTTTGGACTCTCTGCCTCCTCACCTGCGCCGTGCAGTCGGTGTCGAATCACAACTACTACGACGAGGATAACGTCAAACGCGGTTCATCGGAGAAACGTGCATACGTCATCGCGCTGAGGAACCCTCTCGCCAAATTCATCTGTCCTCGCGGGTATTTCATCTCGCGAATCAGCTACGCTTTCGACAACAACAGAGGGACACGCTCTGCAGGAACAGTGCTGCGTGTCACACCTGGGTTCTCTGCACGTGCGGGAGCGGGACGTGGGCCGTGTCCGACGCTGTCATCGTGCCTGGGTCACGTCGGCTGCGTGTTCAAACTATGTGTCGAGTTTTGCCAGTCCGACGCAATTTTCACGCCAGGGTGAGTATATTGTAATAATGGGATGCCCGTAAACATCAAAGTACACGATGACAAGTACTGGGTTAGCTTTAATACTCTAGCCCTCGCCGCCACTGCCATACGCAAACTGCCGCATGTGGCAGCAACAAGGGCTATATAGTACTAGAGGCACCTATAGGTCTACTGTCCTATCAGTTGGTCATTTTCACGCCAGGGGGAGTAGATTTCTAGAGGGCCTGTATCATATTATTCATTCATTCTTATTATTAATCATTTTGTAACTTAATGACTTTATACTGCTAAAATCATCAACATAAGTTTGGAAGCTTCTCCTCGTTAGTGCAGTGAAAAGGCGACACGTGACAACGTCAAGAGTCAGCTAAAGCGCCTCAATTCATATACACTTACCAAAACTAAATCACGCACTATGTGTATTTAAGACAATACAAAGAAGA